CAGTTATTGGAGAGTTCCGAGTTCGAGGGATTCCGGCTAACGGAGATATTACTGTACTGGGTTTTGTTTACATAAGAACATAAGAAAATAAGGAGTCTGCTATAGGCCAGTTAGCCTGTGCATGGCAGCTCCTGTCGAGAGTTACTACCACTCTCTATCATCCATGAATCTATCTAGCCTCCTTTTAAAACTTTCCATCATTCCAGCACTTACTACAAAGTTGCTAAGCTTGTTCCACTCGTCCACCACCCTATTTGTGAACCAGTTTCTTCCTATCTCCCTCCTAAACCTAAACTTATCTAACTTGAATCCGTTGCTCCGAGTCCTATCCTGCTCGGATATTATAAGAACTTTATCTATATCCCCTTTATTGATTCCTTTCACCCACTTAAATACTTCTATCATATCTCCCCGCACTCTTCGTCTTTCTAGGGAATGCAAGTTTAGTTTCTTTAACCTATCTTGATATGGAAGGTTTGTAAGTCCCGGAATCATTTTCGTCATTCTTCGCTGTACCGACTCCAGTGAATTGATATCCATTCTATAATAAGGGCACCAGAACTGAACAGCATTATCGAGGTGCGGCCTGACTAAAGCAAGATATAGTTGCAATAAGACCTCTGCACTTTTATTACTTACACTTCTAGATATAAAACCTAATACTCTGTTTGCCTTATATTGAACATCAACACACTGTTTTCTAGGCTGTAGGTCCGGGCTTACAAGTACCCCTAAGTCTCTTTCACAAGTCAACTTCTCTAAGTTGATGTTGTTAAGGCTGTATACAGCCTAAACTGTATACAGTCGTAGATTAATTTGTTTTTCTCTAAATGCGATCGGATGCTATTTGCTACAATTGATTCAAGAAATTTCCCCACTACTGATGTCAAACTAATCGGCCGGTAATTTGACGTTGATGCTCTGTCTCCTTTTTGAATATGGGTACTACGTTTGTCTGATTCCACAAGTCTGGCACAACTCCTGTGTCTAATTATTTTGTAAATAAATTTACGAGGGGTCTGCTAATCTGTTCCTTACACTCTTTCAAAACTCGAGGGAAAATTTCATCCAGCCCTGGGGATTTTGTCTTCTTTAATTTATTTATCTTCTTAAGAATACCCTCTTTTCTTAGTGATATTCTTTAATTTCTATTCTTCATTTCCCATAAATATCAGTTCCACCTCTGGCATTTCCTCGTGAATTTTTTCTGTGAAAACTGACAAAAAGTAGCTGTTCAATGCTTTACTTATTTTCTCACTATCATCGATCACTTCTCCTCTCTCTCTGACTTTAAAGGCCCCACTTTGTCCTTGACCTTTGTCCTATATACAGTGGGGTATGCTATAACGAATCTAATTGGCTCTAGAACCTTGTTTGTTATAGCATTCGTTCGTTATAGGATTAATCCGTTCCAGGCCCCCAAATACAACCACTTAACACTCAAAAATATAATATAAAATTGTAAAAATTGTAAAAAAGTGCATAAATATGCATCTAAACCCCTGAAATAAAGAATATCATTAATATTTGTAATAAAAAAACAATAAATTAAAAAAAAAAAAAAAAAATTAAATAATGTTCGTTGTAGGAGTTTCGTTCGTTATAGCATTCTCAATTTTATAGGTAAAACCGTTCGTTATAGGAATATTCGTAGTAGGATCCGTTCGTTATAGCATACCCCCACTGTACCTGGAAAAATCCCTTGGGATTCGCCGTGGATTCTCTTGCTATCCTGATTCCGTAGTCCCTCTTTGCCTTCCTTACATTTTTCTTAACGTTCCTAGATAGTTCATTATACCTATTTCTGAGCTGCTCCTCCCCTCCCTTTAATTTCTTATAAATTCCTTTCTTTATTCCTATGTCATGTTTATGTTTTCTGGTCATCCACCTTGGCTCATTCTTATTTGACCTAATTTTTCTGTATGGTATATTTTGTTCATGTGCTTTACGTAGTATACGAGTGAATATATTATGGTCATGATCAATTGTTGTGTCGCCTGTGACCTCACCCCTTCCTACTGGGAACTGACCTGACTGTTCCCAGGCGACCTCACCTAGGTACCTTCTTAACCCCTCATAATCCGCCGATCGAAAGTGTGGGACTCTAACCATATTATCATTGTTTTTCGTGTCCAAATTTAGGGTGAACCTGATTTCTCTGTGATCACTGTTCCCTAGTTCTTCCCCTATTGTGATATCTCTCATATTTTCTTTATTTGTTAAAACTAGGTCTAATATATTGCCACCTCTAGTAGCTTCTGTAATTAGTTGTTTTAAAAAATAGTCCTGTACTGCGTCTAGGAAGTCTTCAGATTCATAGTCACCTACAATGTTTTCCCAATCAATATTTCTGAAGTTGAAATCCCCCATAATGCACAGGTTGTTGTATCTTGCTGCCCTACTCATTTCCTGCCATATGGGCTGAGCTGCTTCTTTGCCAAGACTTGGGGGGCCTGTAAATCACTCCCATAATTAGTTTTTCTCTTCCTTCCGCAATTTCTACCCATACAGACTCGGTTCCTATTTCACCCTTTATTGAATTATTACTACAGCATTTTAACGTATCCCTGACGAAGAGTGCGACCCCTCCCCCCCACCCCACCTTCCCTGTCCTTGTGAAAGAGGTAGTACCCTTCTATGTGGTACTCTGATAAAAAGTTCTTGCTCGCCAGATTCATCCAAGTTTCAGTGATTGCTATGACGTCTACATTCTCGGTACATACAACCGCTCTCAGCAAGTCTATTTTATTTCTAACGCTCCTACTGTTTGTACAGTATACATTTAAACCTACCCTTCCCTGGTTCTGTTTTACCCCTTGTCCTGAGTAACCAATTTTCCTTCCTAGGGCCTGCTTGTATTTTGACTCCCACTTTCCCTGGCCCGTCTCTACTGGAGTAAAAATTTCAAGCTCCAGGGATGCGGACAACGTCTTTACCCCGCGCGAAACAAGTGTACTCCGTCACTGGTAGTTGTTGCCATAGAATGGTTGCCAGTTATCAATGAACACCCAACCATTGCTCGCACAATGTTTTTCTAGTCGGCAATTTATAGCAATTGTCCTGGACAGCCATTCATCACCAACTCCTCTTCTAGGCAAGACACCACATACTATCGGGATCCCTCCCCTATCTCTAATCTTCCCCAGCGCCTCCCTATACCTCTTGAAAAGTTCCTCACTCCTAACCTTTCCTGTGTCGTTACCTCCCACACTAAGACACACTACTGGCTTGTTACCCTCCCCTGACAAAACCCTGTCTATCCTCTCAGCTACATGCCCTATCCCAGCCCCAGGAAAACACCCTAGTCCTACGTTTCCTATCTCTTGCACAAAATGTCCTATCTAAGAACCTCACCTGGCTGTCCCCAACTACCACGACCTTACCACTGGGCAGGGTCTGTACAACTGCCCTTTCTTCTCCTGGCACCACACCGCCCTGCCTCCTCTCCTCCTCGCCAGCTTCCTTCAACACTTGGTAAGGGTTACTACACTCCACACCCTGGTCAGCTTTCCTGAGTCTGACCCTAGTCCCCTTGGAGACAACCACTCTCCAAGCCTGCTACTCCTTCGCTGGTGTCCTGCTTGGCAGGACACCTACCTGAAGGAGTTCCGTCCTGAGGGCTTCGTTCTCCCCCTTAACACGTCTATCTCTCTCCTCAACTGCTCCAGCTGACTTAACAGAGTGGCCAGGGGGTGGTCTTTCCTCACACACCGTCCCTCTTCCCCCACAACATAACGATCCACGGCGGCCATTTCCTATTGTCACTAACGCGAGCACTTAGGGGCACGTCCTTCTTCAAGCTGGGTCAGGTCGGTACTGGACCAGAGTACCGATCACTTGTTTTGAGCACATGTGGCCGAACCCACACACACGCAGGGCTACCAATGCCAGGAATACCTCGGGGGCCTTTTTCAAACACCTCTTTAGTATTGTTAGTTTGTTTTGCACAGGAATTGTAACAGTATTTTTTTTTACCAAGTGTACATGACAACATCAACAAAGACTCAGCAGTTAAGTGTAAAGAGTTACTAGATTGTATTAAGCACAACATACTGTTCTGTTCGTAGTGTTAATAAATGATAGAAGGACAATGAAAAGAAATTATTGGCAAACCTGTTATAATGAGAAGGTACTGTTGATATAATACACACCTGTTGTACAAGAAGGTACTGTTGATATATACACACCTGTTGTACAAGAAGGTACTGTTGATATAATACACACCTGTTGTACAAGAAGGTACTGTTGATATAATACACACCTGTTGTACAAGAAGGTACTGTTGATATAATACACACCTGTTGTACAAGAAGGTACTGTTGATATAATACACACCTGTTGTACAAGAAGGTACTGTTGATATAATACACACCTGTTGTACAAGAAGGTACTGTTGATATATACACACCTGTTGTACAAGAAGGTACTGTTGATATAATACACACCTGTTGTACAAGAAGGTACTGTTGATATAATACACACCTGTTGTACAAGAAGGTACTGTTGATATAATACACACCTGTTGTACAAGAAGGTACTGTTGATATAATACACACCTGTTGTACAAGAAGGTACTGTTGATATAATACACACCTGTTGTACAAGAAGGTACTGTTGATATAATACACACCTGTTGTACAAGAAGGTACTGTTGATATAATACACACCTGTTGTACAAGAAGGTACTGTTGATATAATACACACCTGTTGTACAAGAAGGTACTGTTGATATAATACACACCTGTTGTACAAGAAGGTACTGTTGATATAATACACACCTGTTGTACAAGAAGGTACTGTTGATATAATACACACCTGTTGTACAAGAAGGTACTGTTGATATAATACACACCTGTTGTACAAGAAGGTACTGTTGATATAATACACACCTGTTGTACAAGAAGGTACTGTTGATATAATACACACCTGTTGTACAAGAAGGTACTGTTGATATAATACACACCTGTTGTACAAGAAGGTACTGTTGATATAATACACACCTGTTGTACAAGAAGGTACCAAAGAGGCAGGAGTACAGGTGGTCTAGGAGAGTGATGAGTAAGTCTTCAGTAAACTGGAATGCATGTGGAAACTGTCTCATGATCTGCCATATACAGTCGATGAACTGCAGAAAAACTGGGGAGCGGTCTGCATCCTGGTGACGGTCATCTCCGTGTCCTATGCGCTGTACGTGTGAAAAATGAACACTTAACACATGTTCCAATATCACCTGATGTGCTCTCTGCCTCATATTTCAATACCTGGCCAATTGTCCCCCACAGCAATTAATGTAAACAGGGCCCAGCCGGCAACATTCGCCACATATATTTTGATACAGACTCCTCATTACCCGAGGCTATTAGGGAGCAGGACCGTGTATACTGTTGTACCGGGAATAAATAAATATTATACTAGTAATGTAAATAATACAATTATATACAGCATTGGCAATAGTTACCTAATGCAGCTCCCTCAGTCCCTCCTCCTGTGGGCTAACTACGTGGTGCACATAATATTTATTCCATTTGTTTTTGACTAATGATGGTCATATTTTTTTTTTACAAATTCAATTATGAACAAGTGTGTATGAATGTAACAGCATAAAATATATTTAATAAAACATTACATATATCGACTGTACTTGAAATTATGAGTTGAAACATAACAGAAACACAGGTTTGCCTGGTAGGAGGAAAGCTGGGGGGATACAACAATCTAACTTGGTCACCTGCCAAGTACACACACATTTGTTTCCCACATATAATTCTTATTTTATTGCAACATATTTTTTGATGTCTTGGTGTACTCCAAATAATGCAATAAAATAACTACAATAAGATAATAACAATTCAAAAGAACAGTGTGTGTGTGTGTGTGTGTGTGTGTGCGTGTGTGTAAACATTTAAACTAACATTTACCATTACCATATGAAGAATTCAAAAGTGCTCAGTGTATTTTTTCACTGCGGGTGTGATGCGAGTGTCTCCCACATATGAATATTCCTGCATTAGCTCCGTATGAACTGTCTCATTGAACTTCATTCACTTCTAAACCATGCGGGTCCGTACACTCAGGAAGAAGAAAAATAAGGCTCGTGTGAAGTGAGCCTTTCATGGGGGTATGAGAGCTGTGGCTAGTCGGCCCGGTTTCATATATTACTGTAGTATATCATAATTTTTCTCTGCGAATAAGTGGGGTATGCTTTGTGAATATCAAATAGGGGTGTTAAAATAGCGAGGTACTGTACAGTCAGTCTGTATATGGCAACATTTTAAAGGGCATTCAAGAAATATCCAAATGCGTTGAGTCTACAGTACAGGTGAGTTAATTATTTTTTCCAAGAGGATGGATATTATACCTTACCAAGGGAAACTAAGATCAACTCGACAACACCTAAAGAGAAGAAATATGTGTGTAGTCACATAACACTGTAATAGCCCCTGTCTTATAGGCAGAATTTATATAAATGGGTTAATTACATTAGACTTATATACTCTATCACCCTCTGTAACTTTCCACTAGCTATGAGGTGGCATGTTGAGAGCACGTGATAAGGTGTGCCCATGAGAAGTCGTGTCACTTAGTGCTGAGCTAAGGCATTGAGTAGCCTGCTCTCTGGCCGCCTAATGCAGCAGTAGTTTGATATCCTTGACGAGAGGAAGACGTTATTGAGAGCCATCGTGGATGGTTCCGTCTTCCCTCGAGGGAGGACGTATATCACTGTTCTCCCTCGACGGGTATTACAGGCACTCTTACTCAGCCCCTCACACCAACAGGACGTATTTTAGAAGAGCTACTTTAACACAGCCTCCGTTCCCATTTAACACTCAAAGCCACAGTGATTAAGTTACGGTGATACTGTACTCCTTTTTAAAAGTGAATATAGAAACCTTTTATAATAAACACAGAAAAGAAACATATTGGATTTCACTACAGAAGATCCAATAAATTTTGATCTATATTTTAGTATGTCTAAAATATAAGGTAACGTGGTTCACAAGTGATTATTACAAGTGGTGACAACCCAGGAAGGTTGTTACATATATGACAGTTTCACAAGTAACTGTTATATTCACGGTAACAGTCACCTCAACAGATACACAGGTAGAGATATTGTTCTCCCCATTACTGTGTTATACTGTTACTAATAAGAAACCCTTGTAACACACTTAAGTAAGATGTCATACTCTACAGTACTAACCTGAGCAAACTTATGGCCAAAACTCAGCCATTCCTTTTCTATGAGAACTGATATACCGGTGATGGTGCGGTAGTACCCGTCCAGCATGACCATCACCAGGGCTGTCAGCTGATGTGAGAAACACTTAACTTAGTCGTGGCAACTATCATATAGTATAAAAAATGAAGAAATTAGTAATAACTGTGTGCCAAGTTTGTAGTACCGTACCTGTACCACTTGGGTCAAATATTATTATTATTTTCATTTCTATTGATGTGGAAGCCATTTGAAGCAAATTCCTTAGACTTGGACTAACAGACTATCAATTATACGAACACTGACCTGTGCAGTGCGGTCCCAGCCATCAGAACAGTGCACGACCACACTCGTCTTGTGACTCTCCACCTTGTCTGCTATACGTAGTGCCCCACTCAACACACAGCGAATGTGGTCCAACCAGTGAGTGGCTTCCAGGTTGCTGAGCCAGTGAGCATTATCAATGTGGGGGTAACACACTTCTGAGGATAAAATATACTCTACTTACAATATGTTTCCCTTCATCCACACTCTAGGTAATACATCTAGACTTAACATAACCTTCATCCTCAATGTATCGCGGCGGCGGTCGGTCGGTCGACCCCTGAGTGTTAATGGCGAGTGTTTCCTTCCAGGGTTCACTGATGGTTGCTTCTTGCTCAAGAAATCTACACATAGTCTTAAAATCCCATTTATTGCCTCGTAAATACCAAGAGTACATCGCCAGTACAGCTCAGCCTTCCTTACCACTGACCTAACACAAACTCTGTGTGAACAGTTAAGACAACTTGTGTGTGACTCAGACTCAGGGATGTATACATCTACGTGTTCAATACTTTGTTAGAACAACACTGTGAATTACAGGTATTTATGATGGGGTTATATTCCTGAGAAACCCATCAATCTCAGGTAGAAACATCAGGAGAATTATAACATGTACTACACTTATCCTCCAGTATTTGACAACTCCTTATTTGTGAATTCACTGATTCACCAACAAATATTAATGACCCTTTATTAAAGATTGATGATTGAAATTAAGCTATCTGTGAGGTTGTTAGAACTGACCGGCCATTGACAGATGAGCACCGGCCACACGCTCTGTGATTGGTCAGGTCTCTCTTGTGACCGACCATTGACAGATGAGCACCGGCCACACGCTGTGGTTAGTCAGGTATCTCGCGTGTGGCCCATCGTCCTCCCCGTCTCACTCCAGCCGCTAGATAAATGTGGTAAGAGAGGTTCCTGTAGCACCCCAATATTTTGGGTACAAGGTGCTGTACATTACACCACACTGTATCTATGGCATCAGAATTAATATTCCGCACTCCATGGTAGAATTTGGTTCCCTTGGTACTGACTCGGTAACACCCAACAACCTACCCCATTCATGTCAGTCGGGCCACTGTGTGCAAAATGTCTCCACTTTTATATAAATCCATTATCACAGACTTTATTTAATTTACAGTAAAATTCCTCTTATCCATATTACAACTATCTGAATCTTCCAGGTATCTGAACTTTGTCCCCTCTGGTTCTGTTCAGCAAAATTTTTAATTTAGTCAAACAATCTGAAAGCAGCTGAAATCATTGACTCGCGTGTCTGCCACCAGTAGCGTTATAACTGCTTTGTTCAGAAAATTTTTTATGATAAACAATAAAACTGATACATCGCATAACATAAAATACAACAGCACATACTTAATGTAAACACATAGCTCCTGCCACACTCACACAATGCCACAGTTCAGCCAGGCAGTCAACCAGCTGACTGAGATTCGGTTCACTGCCTCCACACACCTATGCTCTTAATTATTTTTATTTTATAGTTTTATATTATATTTTCTTTGTTCCTACGCCACATTACAGTACTTTTGACTCTTTTGCTCTATATTAAAGAAAACGGTTTACAAGGGTAGACTATATTATCCTGAGTGATATACCCGTTTATTTACATTCACAGACTTGAATTATATGAGGAGAAAACAAATATTTTGGTTAAAATTTATGAATTTATATTACAAAACACTCACTAAACACCAACACCACTTGCTACTATAAACATCAACACCATCACCACTTGCTACTATAAACATCAACACCATCATCATCATCATCATCATCATCATCATCATCATCATCATCATCATCATCATCATCATCACCACCATCATCATCATCACCACCATCATCATCATCACCACCATCATCACCATCATCACTGAAAGGATTGTTTATCAGACCACAGCTTACAGCCCAGAGAAATTCAACCCACATACCAGTCAGTAAATGAGCAGGTGTACACCCATAGGTTGACACGCCCTACAGTGACCCAGGGGCCACAAGGTACCTGAGTTAACCCGGTGATATGACCCTGTTACAACCACACCTGGGCAAACACAGCTGCCCAGACCTGACCTAAGAGAGGTCAGTCACATTGACCCAGAGTTCTCATTGCCACAAGATTAGTTGAACCCTACAACATGACCGTGTGACTCAAGAAGCAACCCCTCCAGCCGGTCTAGACACACCCAGTCTAGTGTTAATTGAGAGAGGTCATCTGCTGGCTGGTGACCGCCAATATATAGGCCCTGCAGTTCCCTCCTCGAGAGCATTCACATTAAGGGTCAGTTAGCATTCGGAGCATCATTGTAACAGGGAGGGAGACTTTCCTCCCCAGCACCGTGTCTCCAGCGAACAGTCTCTCCCACAGGAGACGTAGTCCAGCACTCCCTTCAACAGCACCTGCTGGGCCTTCCTCATGGTCACACGTGAGTCATTGTCAGAGCTATCCATAGGGTGAGTTACTTACGGTGGGAAGTGTATTCATTTCATGTTTGTGTCCGAGAGTCTGTGTCTAGTAACGTAAATATAATGTTCTATTAATATGTCTGTGTTATTGAGTGAATAATAAATAGCTGTACTTAGAGTTGGTGTTTAGAAAGATTTCCCCTGAGAACGTATTTACAGTTAAATAACTAACCGGCCACACTACCAAACTTCTTCACTTTACATTCCTACAACTAAATATTCTACCTATAGACACTTCTTCTATACAGTGATCCCTCGGTTAACGAATTACCTTCCATAAGAGTCTTCACTTCGGTTAACGAAAAAATTTCGGTTAACGAATTCCTTAGGAATTTTTCTCAACATGTTTTCGCCTGCTCACCACAGTAAATATCAAGAAGGTTGTACTATACAATAATTTTCCAAGACTTATATTAAAGTTCTTAATCATTTTAACAATTATTTAACATAATTGAAGTACTGTACAGGGAACTAGTTTTTAGCACGCCAAACAGCCACTCAACACACCCAAAATGACGTCAGTTTGTGTCTCTGCTCAGTGGAGGAAGCTTCTTGCTTGAGACTCTCTTGAACATTAACTATTTTTACATTTTTACAGTACAATTATTGGTCATTCTGAAGTTTATTTTACATATTGACAATATATAATGCAGTGCAGTGTTGATTTATAGAAAATAATCTTGAATTACACCAAGTGACCTAAAATTTTATGGGTGAAATGGTGCCATGGGGTGACTTCTCTTCCACCCCAATGCCTTCTCTTCTCCCTTCTCCTCCACCCCCATTCTAATTCCCATCATCATCATCAACCAGAAGCTTTCTACATACACACCTCAAAGTACGTGAACTTTACTGCATTTATTTTTAGTTTGTATGTAATTTTCGGTGAGCTGGAACCAATTACCCAAAATCCCATTGAAACAATGGTTTCGGTTAACGAACGACCTTCTGGAACGAATTCTGTTCGTTAACCGAGGGACCACTGTACGAGTTTTGGCTTGTTATATCATCATCATCATCATCATCATCATCATCATCATCACCATCATCATTATCATCATCATCACCATACTAACCCTGTAGTTTACGAAGTGACTCCCTCATAACGTGGATGTTGTGTATGTCGAGGAACTGCACCTCAGCATTCTGATAGGCATCTTCACTCTCGTAGCCGCCGCCCTTGGCCTTGTTGGCAACGGCATTCACACTGAGGGGAAATAATGACCCGTACAATCCTATAACACAAAACACACACACACAGTCCTTCCAAGGAGCTTCATAAAATGGAGAAAATATAACAAAACCCTATTTCATAGCCAAGGTAATGAAGAAACAAGTAATGTATGGACAGAGTTGAGATTACTGTACAAGGAAGAAAAGTAATAAATGATTCAGAAACCTGTTGAAGTGCCCCAGACAACTGCTGGTGTGAGTAGTGATTTAAAACACACACACACACACACACACACACACACACACACACACACAGTACCTTGGTCGAGCATCCATGATGAAGATCTTGTGGCTCTGAGCATTAGCGTCCATGATGTGTTGTATGTAAGCCTCGTCGTCACGGCTCCTCTTCCCGCTCACACCCACGAGAGGCTGAGCACACCGGGCGATGGTCGCTTGGCTCTCCGGGTGAATCCAACTTAGCACCTGTCACCCAAAATTGAGAATACTAATACCAAGATGGTCTCTTAAAAAATAAATCAATAAAATGTAAAGAACTTAAAAAATAAATTCTTCTCTGATTAATGTGAGGTACAGGTAGTTCTGCTATAACGCGATAATTGTGTTCTTGTAAAATATCGTGTTATAGAAAATCGCGTAATAGAAATAACAGGGCTTATGGAGAAAATAGGGTTAGGTGCAGATTACTCGAAATTGAAAAAATTTAGTTGTTAGCCTAACACAAAGGATAGCACGGTCTAAATAAATGTTACATTCATATCTAATAATGAAATCATACAGTAAATGTAACACTTTACTTGATGGGGGAGAAGGGTGATTTTGAGGTTGATAAAATCGAGCTTCTCTTCAAGTGTTATATCCTTTCTTTTACGATCATCACCAGGAATTTTATCACCGGAACGCTTCTTGTTGATATTCTTCTTTACTATATTCACAAAATTGGAGAAATAGTAAGCAAAAATTGCGTTATAGCAAACAAGCGTTCGCGTTATATAAATATCGTTCCTAATTCATAAATCGCGTTAGAGCAAATTCGCGTTATCAAAACACGCGTTATAGCAGAAATCACTGTATAAGAAACTCTTGAAACATGAGACCATTACAGTAACCTTTTCTGTCTATGTTTATTAATACTGTTCATAGTGTTTCTTATATTGAGAGTCAGGACTTGTGGAGAATCTTTCCTATACATTATGGTAAGTGATCCTCTTAACACATTACTGCCTCAAACAACAGCCAGTTTGGTTATATCACTGAACTGTTCCTACTGACTATATCAATACTTACTGTACTTTAAAACACGGGTAACTTAATATTTCACTGCCAAAACTCAACTGTAGTCCACCAGTCAAAATATTCTGTTATTCCCTTTATTCAGTTACAAGTACACACAGTACCTACTTACATAGTGTACAAAAAAGTAGAAGAAATAACTATCAATAGGTCATTAGTTAGGTGGGGATTTTTTTTAATGTTTCTGAAGCAATTTTATATTTTTGGGATTTGATATTGGGATATTTTTGTCACTGAGGAACCCAGCTCTATTTTCCCATAAGCTTTTCTATTCATGATACAAACATTCACCTAACTAATGCTCAATTTTTTTTAACCTAACCCAAGTGTATCTCAAGGGACACCTGTACAACAACTGTCAAGATGGTTTAGTAACATGAGCCACAAGTTCAGGAATTACGTATATAAATAAAGAGTGAAGGTGGATGTTGGTGCTTCACTTCAGTACAGTATAAGAAGTCAATGTACCTGACACAACACTACTGCCTTGTACTTCTGTGTGTGTGTGTGTGTGTGTGTGTGTGTGTGTGTGTGTGTGTGTGTGTGTGTGTGTGTGTGTGTGTGTGAGCCACTCTGGATCTAGTACACAACATTCCCCACTTGATCATCTACCAAACAATGACTCAGGGTAGACTATTACAGCAGGAACCATCTACTGTAAGTTGTGGTGTTACCGGGATTCTTCCTCTGCTCCTAAAAGCTGCCACATTACGTAGATCGTTGTCGTTTGCCGCCGCTGGCACCGCCCACACTGCCGGGTAAGTCTCGCATAACTCGTACTGTTCGTTTATGCGAGTGATGCGCCAGGACTCGTTGGGTAGACCCTAGTGAGGAAAAGGAGAACAAATTATAAAAACTACAATAACTTTACACACTGTACAGTACATTATAAGACTCAACAACTTATTCTCTTTCTGTTTCTTCCTGGGACAAGTTCTGTATGTGTACTGTACTTATCTAGACCAAAGTCACAGTTAATGGTTTTAGATACATTTGTGGGTTTTAAAGTGACTTTTGTCCAAGATGGCAGAAAACTTCTCACCTTCAAGACTTAATTCAACGACTGTATCACTGTGTTCAGCTTCACTCAGCTTGGTGGGAGCTTAGAGACCAAACATTCTCTGGTGTCACTCTGGCTTACATCAGATGATTCCTGCCATGGCACTATCAGTTTATATGACATGACAACATTACTACTGAACCATAAACAGACAGAGGCTACAATGATAATAATATCACTATACAATAGACTCCCAGTTATCCAGGTACAACTAATAGGCAACAAAATGAAATAAATATAATCAAAATATTCCTCCAAAATCATCTATTATTATAAGTTTAAATACCACGTACCAGCCACGAGGATGAGCTGCCACATTTATTGTTATGATGAACAAGAACATGTTTACACAGCATATTATAAAATACAGTATTTTGTCAATTTTACGAACAACTATAGTTTGAGCCGCCCCTTTCCGTTAAATTGAAACAACGCTAAATTGAACTTTCCGTTATTTTCGCTCGATTTACCGAACCAGTTCAATAAATCGAGCGCGATGCCATTAAATTCCACGCCAAATACCGTAGCTGTTTGGTGCGTGGGGTTTGTTTACATCCGCTCAGTCTGTGTCCTGCCCCCACCGTGTGTGTTGTTCACTGCTACCTCTCAGTCTACCTCTCAGTCAACTATGCTGAGACATCATGCTGAAAGTCTCTCAGACGTCTCAGAAAGGAAGTGGTGTGGTGGAGAAAGACAAAGAGTGCAGCTATCAATTGGAAAAAAGTTTCTAAATCATAAAAATTTAAAACAAACACCGAACCCCCTAGTTTAAGGTAAGCCACGAATATTGTTTCTACGTACACATCGTGTGTCTGAGGTGTCTCCGTAGGTGTGAGCGTATTAACGGAATTAATCTTGATTTACCGAACTAGTTCAGTAAATCGAGCGAAAAATAACGTCAAAATTCCTTCTGCTAAATCGAGAGTTCGTTATATCGGATTCCGTTAACTCAAGAGTATACTGTACGGTAACACATGTTTTATGTACAAAAATAACTGCTTCCACACTCAAACCATCCTCTGGGTGACACGACCCACTTCGGCCAAGCAGTCAACCGGCTGACTCACAAACGTGTGGCTGCCACGCTGAGCTGTGTGTATGCCATGACGTCACATCTGGAGGGACCGCCTTCCCACACATATACACACACCCACACTCTTCATTTTTCTTATTTTATTGTTTATCTAGAGTGAAATAAGTGTTAAAAAGTCTGTTTTTCTGAGATGAATTTGAAAGGTCAGCCTGTAGCACTGTGCATAGAAGGATTTATTGGGGGAGCCTTAGAGTGAAATTCACCTAACTGTAAAAACTCTTTATCCAGCACCTCTCAATCCCCATAGGTGCTGGATAACTGGGAGTCTACTACAATACAGGGTGATTCAGCAGAGTACATTAAATTGGAGGATGCAATCCCTGGATAACTCTAAACCACAATGTCTCTATGGTAAAATGTCAGATTCTGCATAGTTTCCATATTACAATACATTTATTATTTTAATATTATTATTATCATTATTAATTTATTATTTTGTATTATACATTTTATTTACTATGAATTATTATTATTATTATTATTATTATTACATTTTCACCCCCAAGGCCCCAATGTGGGTCAGTGACCTGTGCCTGGGTGGGCTGATACCCACATTAAAAAAAAAAAAAAATCAGGTGAATACCTGTTGATATGTGAGACCTCCAAGAACACTGTGGGGGACCTCACACATCAACAAGTGAGGACAATGTTGATGAAGTGATGCAAACATTCCTGTGATTACCACCAAACTCTGTGAGGAAGTGTGTATGTAACAGCATCATTTGTATTATACAGGCACTCCTCGACCACCCGGACATACGACCTCCCCAGTTGTACCAAAATTTTGTCAAATTATGTATTTTCGAGTCCAAACGTAAGTGATTGCGATATGTACTGACAAAATTTTCGTTTGTAATTCACTTTAAAATGGCTGGCAAGCTTAAAAGTGAGTGTTTTGTGGTGCTGAGAAGAAAAAGAGACACCCATTTTAGATTTTCTATGTATTAAATTCGCATTTTCGACTTACGACCTGGATTTGGGTCCCTAACCCCGTCGTAAGTCGGGGACTGCCTGTACAAATATTCACCCAAATGTATAATTCCCAATTATTCACTAAGTTATTCAACAATGAATCAGAAGTTATTCACGAAATTATTCAACCATGACTCAGTGGTTGTTCATGTCATACATGCCGAGGTCATCAGAGGTTGAGCGAGTCAAGCAAATACCTCGCCCGCTTCTCCTTGCATCTCACACTCTGAGCAGGAGAGGGCGGGCAGACTCATATCACTTATTACCCAGTGAACACCTCACTTAAGTGTTCTCCTATAAGTGCAATAAGACACTTTCCTTAGCAGAGCAACTGAACTCAGTACCTGTGAAACTATATTTTTCTACAATAAAGAAAAACCAGCAAGGTGTTTACTTCAGCCCTGCCACTTATTAGTTCCAGAACTAATATACTGTATATATTTGTGTGTGATATATATCTATAAAATAGGACCAACACATATTTTAGAGATGGACAACCTGTAGTACTTATATATAAGACTGGTGCTAACACAGTGCTGTATTACCTGTCTCTTGAGTTCAGCAATTGGTTCATACACACTCCAACCATTCTCAGGGTATTGTTCACAGTATTCAAAGGCAAAGAAGGGCAGCTTATGAGAGGCGGGAAATGCGTACTGCATCAACTTCTCGGTCACCATGCGTCGAGAGTGGTTCTCCTGGGAATAAATAAAGATAATCATTTGATATTAAGAGAAAAAACACACTAACTTAACACACATAAGAATATCAGTGATTAAATTATAAATACAAAGAAGTCAATTTAAGGAAAACAATTTTAATAGTAAACTTCAATATATTTCAGCCCTTCTCCAAGCTTGTTACAGTATTGCTCTTGATAACACTGCTCAATTATCTTCTAAGAGTCCATATATACAGAGTTGTAAAAAGTACTGTACTGGACTTTGTTACTTAAGTAAAAGTATTTTTACATTGGCAAAATGTTACTCAAATAGAAGTAAAAAAGTATCTCATTCATAAAGTCCTCAAGATATGAAAGTATAAAGTAACAACCAAATTATTGTCTCAAATATTAAAATAAATCCAGAGTAAATTATAAAAAGTTAACTAAAGATAAGAATAAAAGTCACAACATTACACAAGTTTATTTGTAAATCTTTCTATTAAGATTAATCAATAACTGATTCTCAAAATTATGGCTGTCCAATCAGGATCTTTTAGGCCTAAATATAAGCCCATAGTGACCTACCCAAAGAGAATACGTTCAGCCGCTCTTCTCCCTACAATCCACCGCAGGGATGGTGAACGGGCTGAAATTATATCCATCCAACACTATGATCACTTTCTTCCTTATCCACACAAGTATTGTCAACGTGGACTTATGGTCCAGACATAATGTTGTCTCTGCTCGCCTTAGGTGAGGATACAGACCTATCTGAGGTGGGGGATGACCTGCACTTCTCTTCCTGTAAACTGTCCCAACACTAACACCCATCAACACTATTGTCTTGACTGTCAGGGACCTCCTACCACAGGGAGAGTCACTCACCACTATATGTCACCACCTACTTATTCATTATAATTTAGATCTAATTATTGTCCACTACCCACACTTTGGTGGGTGCTAACTCCCATTGTCCTTAAATTATATCAATATTGTCACCATATCACAAGTCACAGCTTGTCCTGCAAGACACGAGTACCGTACCAATGTATTAGTGTCTGACCGCAGGGTCATGTGACTGGGGTTGTCGTCCCCTGGGATGTAATAAATTAATTAAATAATAAGGCCAGCCTGATTAAACGGACACTCACAGGCAGCAGATGCAGGAAGTGGGGTGTTAAGTTTAAGAGATAAGTCACATAATGTCGGCGAAGACCTCAGTAGCTCCATTCCACCCCCTGGGCATGCCAAGCAGCTATCAAGTTCCTTCAGTTGAGGAGTTTGTGGATGATTGTTGCCTCCATAGTGACTGAGTCTGACTAAGACTCACCCTCAACTGGGGTGTGGCTGTGGTCACGTCACTTTTTAATTTTAATTGACGAGTGGCTGAATTTTTCGCACCACATAACATCTGGGGGGTGTTGGGGGGGCGCGGGGGGGGCAGTGGTGCTTAGTTATTTGAGCATAATTTTAAATACACTCAGCGTCACACATAAATACAGGCTTTATGTCTATGATGGAATTATGTAAAGCAGTGTTCCCCAACCCAATCACCCAAACCATCTACAGGCATCCCCCGCGTTACGGAACCCCGGGTTGCGGAATTTCGCTCTTACGGAATTTGTAAATTATGACCAATAATTTCGCGATACGGCCCGTAAATCCGCCCTTACGGAAATTGGGGTAAATTTTAACAATTTAAAAAAAAATCACCAAATAAAATTAAAAATTTTTGTTAAAAATTATAATTTGTTTGGTGTGGATTTCTTGGTGTTTGCTACCGCCAAGCGTGGCGTCGCCACGAGGAATCAGTCCATTGTTTACATCCAGTGTGCGCGCATGTTTCTCGCCCCAGCAGTTTGATTTAACTTTTACAAACATACAGTAAGTACAGTACAGTGCATTACCCTTATTCAAGATGACTGGAATGAGGCCATCAAGTGGAAGTGACCGCAGTAGTGCAAAAAGAAGCTGCAAAGGTATTACATTGGATATTGAACTTGACGTATTAAGAAGGTATATCATAAATTATTTAATGTACTGTATTGTATGTGTTTATAAATGTTTATTTTCATTCATAAAGCTGCTTGAATTACTTTTTGGGGCCGAAAAAAATTCCTGAGGAACGCATCTCCAGTTTTATAATGGAAGTCAATGAGAAAATAGGTTTCGCGTGACGGAATTTCGCGATATGGTCAATTTTCCAGGAACGGAACCCTTCCGTAACGCGGAGGATGACGGTACTAGTGTGACCAGGTGCTGTGACCCAGGAGCAGCTGTGACCCAGGAGCAGCTGTGACCAGGTGCTGTGACCCAGGAGCAGCTGTGACCAGGTGCTGTGACCCAGGAGCAGCTGTGACCAGGTGCTGTGACCCAGGAGCAGCTGTGACCAGGTGCTGTGACCCCCATTGTGACCCACAATAATCTGTGAACAAGTCAATGTTGCTACATCCTGCGCAGTGGCGGATTTCCCAATAGGCACATGTGGCACGTGTCCCCGACCACACACACAATGTGGTAGCGTAGTCCCTGCTATGGATTGCAATTTGATGAGTCGACAGATCTCACAAACAGGGCTCAGCTGATATGCTTCATTCGCTATGTTGACTGTGAGCACTTGTGAATGACAGAAGAGTTTCTTTTCTGTGAAGATGTTGGTGCAGAAACTACCGGTGAAGCAACTGCAAACAATGTTCTGGACTGTCTCACCCACAATGGGATTGTAATTGAAAAGAGTTCGCATATTACAACCGATGGTGCAGTGTGTGTGGTTGGGCAGTGGCAACATTGAAATACAGTAATATCCCCGTTAGCCGCAATCCCTCAAACCCGGAACTCTCCGACAGCCGGAATTGAAATTTTCTCGGAAAATCGTTTCCAAAGCCGGAATTTTCCGGAAGATTCCGGCTTTGGGAACGATTTTCCGAGGGGCACATTTTCCGGAAAATTCTGAAAACATTTTCCCGATACCCGGATGGGGAGTTTTTTCCGGGTTTGAGAGATGAAAATCGGGCGAATTTTCTGGAAATTCCGAGAATTTTTTTCCATTACCCGGAAAATTCCGGGGAGGAGAGATTTTTTCCAGCTTCGAGAGAGTCGTCTCGTTACCCGGAAATCTCTCATCCCCGGAAGTGCTCTGCACCAATTGTTCCGGCTAACGGGGATAACACCGTATTATGCATTGAACTATAGAAGGTCTCACTGCACTCTGTATCGGCAGAATTTGGTATCAAACCATCTACCAAGTGAGTCCGATTTGGATGCAGTAATGAAAAAGAGCTCCATTATCATCAATGATATCAAGAGCAATGCTAAGAAATCTCGCGTGTTCCATGACTTCTGCGATGGGATGGGGGAGACTGAGAAGACCTCGCTGCTTCACAGCGAAGTGCGATGGCTGTCAAGGGGAGTTGGGTTGAAGAGACTCTTTTAACTAAGACTGTGGCTCACTGCATGTGGCTCACTGCATGTGGCTCACTGCATGTGGCTCACCGCATGTGGCTCACTGCATGTGGCTCACTGCATGTGGCTCACTGCATGTGGCTCACTGCATGTGGCTCACCGCATGTGGCTCACTGCATGTGGCTCACTGCATGTGGCTCACTGCATGTGGCTCACCGCATGTGGCTCACTGCATGTGGCTCACCGCATGTGGCTCACTGCATGTGGCTCACTGCATGTGGCTCACCGCATGTGGCTCACTGCATGTGGCTCACTGCATGTGGCTCACCGCATGTGGCTCACCGCATGTGGCTCACTGCATGTGGCTCACTGCATGTGGGCTCACTGCATGTGGCTCACTGCATGTGGCTCACCGCATGTGGCTCACCGCATGTAGCTCACTGCATGCAGCTCACTGCATGTGGCTCACCGCATGCTGGCTCACTGCATGTAGCTCACTGCATGTGGCTCACCGCATGTGGCTCACTACATGTAGCTCCCCGCATGTAGCTCACGCATGTAGCTCTGCATCCATGCTTTCACGCATGTAGCTCACTGCATGTGGCGCTCACTGCCTTCATGGCTCGCATGTGGCTCACGCATGGCTCACCGCCCATGTGGCTCACCGCGTGGCGGCTCACACTGCATGTAGCTCACTGCATGGCTCACTGCATGTAGCTCACTGCATGTGGCTCACCGCATGTAGCTCACCGCATGTCTGCATGTGGCTCTGCATGTAGCTGCATGTGGCTCACTACATGCTTGGCTCTGCATGTAGCTCACTGCATGTGGCTCACATGTGGCTCACTGCATGTGGCTCACACCATGTAGCTCGCCATGTAGCTCACATGTCTGCATGTGGCTCACTGCATGCTGGCTCACTGCATGTAGCTCACCATATGTGGCTCACTCACTGCATGTGGCTCACTGCATGTGGCTCACTGCATGTGGCTCACTGCATGTGGCTCACTGCATGTGGCTCACCGCATGTGGCTCACCGCATGTGGCTCACTGCATGTGGCTCACTGCATGTGGCTCACCGCATGTGGCTCACCGCATGTATTCTGTTTCATGCAAGAGGAGAGGGTTGCTAAACTTTCTTACTTGTGTGATATATTCACCAAGCTCACTGTGTTGAACCTCTCCCTTCAAGAGCCAGGTTCAAGATGTGTTCACTTCCTATGACAAAATTGAGGCATTAAAATTGAAAATTTCTGAGTGGAAGAAAAGAGTTGAGAGAAGAGACTTTTCAGACTTAGATGAGCTTGGACAAGTGATTGTAGAGTCCAGGGATGAAGTCAATGACGACCAAATGATGACAGTTGTGTCCCAACGTCTCACCGTTCTCCAGCAGAATTTTAGCCACTATTTTCCTCCTGCAAATGAGGAAGAAAAGAAGAATAGTTGGATAAGAAACCTGTTCCTTATCTCAAACTTGAACAACAGCAATCTGCCCACTCAAGGAAAAGACACTGATCGAACTCCACTGTGACTCAGAAATGAAGGACTTTTACAACAGCTGCAACCTCACTGACTTTTGGGTAACAGTGAGCCAGAAACAAGCATATGAGATGATTGGTGGTAAAGCACTCC